GAACCTTGTGCTTACGAGGCAGGCGGCAGCACCACTGAGCTAAATCCCCATCGTTTTGTTTTCTTTTTAATGAGGTCTGTGTTGCCCAAGGCTGCCCTCAGACTCCTTAGGATTAAGGAGTTCTTTTGCCTCACCTCTTGAGTCACTGTGACTATAGGCATGGGCCGCCATGCCTGGTTGTTTTAAGCAAAGTACTCTTGTCAATATCTTTGTAAACTCTGCCACTTAACACTTCCTTTTAATCCTTAGGGACCCCTGTGCCTTCTGGTGTCTGTGTTCTGAAGCTTCAGGACAGCAGAGACTGTGAGCAAAAATAGGACTTTCCATGTTCCAGGCTGCACTTGCCATGCCTACAGCTGCCCACAGAGAAGAGTGTTGCAACCTCCCAAGGGACACACACCTTTGAGTTTCCACTAAAGTTCCCTCAATAAGTCATTAAGATGAATCACTTCATGTGTAGAATTCTTTTTTTTTTGGTACCAGGGATCAAACTCGGGTCCTAGCGCTTGGAAGGCAAGTGGTAGAACCACTGAGCTAAATCCCCAGCCTTAGTTTCTCATTCTTTATGGCTGAGGAGTACTCTATTTTATAAAAAACCCCACATCTTCTTTATCCAGTCTCCAGTTGATGGGCACTTGGGCTGTTTCCAAGCTTTAGCTATTACAAACTGTGCCGCTATAAACATGGGCGCACATATATTCCTGTGGTATGATTCTTTTAATTCTTTGGGGAAGATCCCCAGCAGGGGAATAGCGGGGTCAAATGGGACTTCCAGCCCTAGTTCTTTGAGGTATCTCCATACTGATTTCCATAGTGGTTGCACCAGTCTACACTCCCACCAGCAATGGAAAAGGGTTCCTTTCTCTCCACACCCCCGCCAGCATTTGTTATTGGTTGATTTCTTTTTTTTTTTTTAATTAAGAGAGACTTCATTAGTAAGAAGCAGCAAAAACAGTAGACAACAGTTTCAGATCCAAGAACTTCAGGTATGGGGATTATCAGATAGAGAATACACAATGGATATGTTTAATTAAAAAAAACATAGAAGAGGTAACCAAAAAATGACCACAGAACAAAAAGCAATAAAAATAATCAGGTAAATTTAAAATAACTAAAACAATTCTACAATAAAAGATTTAATACTTGAAATTAGAAACAGTAAGTACATTAAACAGCAGGACGTAGCTGAAAAAGAAACCTAATAAAATGGAATACTGGAGTGGTTCAAAATAGGTCAAATAAACAAATTATTTGAAACTCCTAAAGGTAGTGCTTAATTCTCTGCCTTGAGTGTAGTCTGGACTTAATGACTATATATAACAAAAACCAGAAGTGTAGTATGTGACTTTGAGACCAACTCATAAGATACTGTGGTTTCCTGCTTGCTCTCATCTGAGTTGCTGGCCTTGGGGAGAGTCAGCTGTTAAGTTGTAATACCACTTACGAAGTCCTCTTGGAAAGTTCTCCTGATGAGGAACTGAAACTCCCAGCCAATAGTCATGTGAATGAGGCCCCATGAGCTTTCATATGACTGTAGCCAACAATTAAATATGTTCTCATGAAAGACTATGAAGCAGAACCAACCAGCTAAGCCACACCCAAATTTCTGACCCTCACAAACTGTGAGAAAGTCCAATGTGGTGGTGTGCACCTGTAATTCCAGCACTTGGGAGGCTGAGGCAGGAGGATCACTTGAGGCCAGGAGTTTGAGACCAGCCTGGACAACATAGCAAGACTTTGTCTCAAACAAACAAAGAACTGTGTGAGATAATAAATGTTTGCCAATTTAAGATTCCCTATTTGGGAGGAGTAATTCGTTATGCAGCAGTATATAACTAATACAAAGATAAAATTTGAACATATGCAAGAAGACAAAGAGACAAAGGGATAGAAAAGATGAAAAAGTGTTGAGATAATAAAGCAGAATAAAAAGTTTACACTTCAATAAAGTTTTCTGAGGGAGATCATGGAAACTACAGGGGAGAGGCAATACTCAAAGAGATGATGGCTCCTGATTTTTCAGAATTGAAACACAAATCTTCACTCTGAAGAAACACAATATATCCTAAGCAAGGTATGATATGATAAGAGAAAGTAATACATACATAGCATAAGGAAACTGCATAATACATAAAATAAGGAAAATATTTTTAAAACAGCAGGGGGTCGAGGACAATTATTTACAGAAAAACAACAAATACACTGAAGCAGAATTCTCAGGAGCAACAATGAGAACCAAGAAAGCCATACTTAGAATTCCAAAGTACTCAAAGGAAAGTACATAGGAAAAAAATATATAAAATTATATACTTGGGAAGTTCTTTCTCAGTAATAAAGACACTTTCAAACAAATGAAATCCTCCCCATCTGTTATGGCTTGTATTTAGATGTCCCCCCAAAGCCTCATGCTGTCACAGGTGGGGAGTTTTGAAGGTGGCTGGATTAAGGTTTAATGCTGGGATTAAGGATGCTGGGATTAAGGATGTAATACTGGGGTTAAGAGTGTGATACTGAGATTAAGGATGACCCACCCTGCATGTTGCTGGCATCACCCAAAAGGCTGGTGCCTGGATGGACTATAAGGGACAGAAAGAAGCTGCTGCCACTTTGCTGTTTTGCTACCTTCTGCTTGGCAAAAACTGTTTTTCTCTGTAGTGCCCCTCTGTCATGCCACCCTGCCTTGGAGACAGCCGACTATGGACTGAAACCTCTACAAACTGTAAACCGAAATAAGCCTTTCCTCCTTTAATTTTGAGTGTTGAGTATTTGTCTTAGCATTGGGAAAGTAACTAAAACAGCATCCCTCCCCCGGGGACTCAAACAAGTGTGCTTCAGGAAGAAGGAAAATTATCCCAAGCAGAAGGTCTGAGATGCAGGGACTGGTAAGCAAAGGCCATGGTGACCTTGTGGGTGTAGAAAACCTTAACCATATACAACAATCATATAAATTTATGGAGTTAAAAAGTAGAACTAAAATACTGGACAAGAAAAACGTGATCCAGAGTAAACAATTCAGGAGTAAAATCTTGTAAGATGGTTATGTTGTTTGAGAGGAAGAATAGGCTATTAACATGAGACCACAGAATGTTAAAATGTAAGGTGATCACTAAGGAGTGGAGATAAGGGATGGGATGCAGCTTAGTGGTACAGCACTAAGCATGGCAAAAAGAAATAAAAAGTAGAGATAATATTAGTAATTAACTGATTTGCAGACAGATTAGTGGTAGAGTATTTGCTTAACATGAAAGAGGCACTGGGTTCAATCCCCAGCAACAAAAATGAACAAAAACAAGATTTCAATAATAGAATTAACAGGGCTGATCAAATGGACATAGTTAGAGCTTTTCACATAGCAATTACAGAACATGTTCTTGTATTCAGACAGAACATTTTATAAAACTTTGAATCATACCGTAGGTCATAAAGTAAATCTGCACAACTTTCAAAGCATAGGTATCATTTGGATCACTTTCTCTTACCAAATTATGATTAAACTAGAGGACAACAAGAAACGTACTACTAGCATTAGCCTTATGTGTTAGGATACTTTTAAAAGACACCTCTTCTTATTTTGTGTTCCTGGAGATCAAACCAAGGGCTTCCTGCATGCTAGGCAAATGCTGTAGCTCTGAGCTGCACCCAGCCCTTTAATACTGCCCCCCCCGAAACACTTGTAAATTACTTCCTAGGTCAAAGACAAAAATCAAATGGTTTCACAATTGTATTAGTCCATTTTTCATTACTATAAGAAAATACTTGAGGACAGTTGCTTCTAATGGGAAGAGGTTTATTTTGCTTACAGTTTTGGAGATGGAAAGTCCACATAGCATGGTAGTAGCTCTTGCAGGGGTGAGTTGGTTCCATCACATCCTGATGGGAATTCATGAGAGGGAGAGATCACATGATGAGAGAAGAAATCAGAGAGACTGGGGAGGGGCAGTCTTGCTTTTGTACAAGGGTCTCACTATGCACTTTAGTCTGGCCTTGAACTCATTGTGTAGTCCCAGGCTAGTCTCGAACTCGAGGCAATCCTCCTGCCTCAGCCTCTCCATGCTGGGATGACAGGAGTGTGCTACCATGCCTGACAACAATATTGTCTTGAGACCTAAAGTTCCACAAGAACTAAGTCAACTCTTTCCAAAGGCAGCAGCCCAACGACCTCCCACTAGACCTCTCCTCTTAAAGGTTCTGCCACTTCTATCAACACACTGGGAACCAGGATTCCAACACATGAACCAGTGGGGGACACACTCAAACTGTGTCCAAACCATGGTAACAACAGTTGTATAGGATTGCCAAGGAGAGATAAAACCACTGTCTGCAGAACATGTACTGGAGACCCCTGCAGTTAGGTTCCAGTATCCTGCCCAGTATATGACACAGGCCTCAGGAAAAAAACCCTAAAAGACATAACCAAGAGAGAGAAAGTGGGGTGCCAGGATGACCAATGCTGGTGCAACAGACAAAGGCCCTGGTCAGTCCAAGTCACTGAGTTTTATTGATAATCAATTGGGGTAAAGTTGAGCTATGTGCAAGAGCAGGACTATGTGAGAAGATAGTGTGGTTTCTATGGAAATTAATGTAAGCAAGGCTTGTGAAGGGAGAGACAAAGCATTCTTGAATTAAGAACAGAATAGACAAAATATATGCTTGCAATTAGAACATTGTCCCTCTTGTTAGAAAGTTTTAGTTGTGGGAACAGAATTTGGGTGCGAGTTACTCTGACCTCGGTGCATAGGCTTTGGCCAGACTCACTTTTATAAACAAGCCAATTGTGGGGTTAACTCTTTACAGCCTGCTTTGGGCATCATCAATATTACAGTCTCCTGTATCCATGTGGTTATAGGACTGGAAACCCTAAAAGAATCAGCTAAAAATTACCAAAAACAAAAAATCAGTCAGATGGTGAGGTACAAAATTGATGTACAGAAAATCAACCAACATCCAGTTAGGAGTACAAAGGTGAACAGGTAGTAATAAAAAATGCCTTTCACATAACATTTTTATGTTGTTTTGATTTTATTTGCCACAATGTGACTATATCACCTAGTAAAAACAAAAACAACACCCCCCCCAAAAAAAACCCAGTTGAAATATCGTGAGCATCTTATTCCTTGAGGATCTAAAAAGATTTTCCAAGGGACACTTGGACATGGATCTTTTTGTTGCCGTTTGTTTGTTTCTGAAGCAGTCTTACTGTGCTGCAGAGACTAGTCCTAAACTCCTGGGCCCAACTGATCCCCCTGCCTCAGCGTCCCCAATAGCATGGACCACAGGTGTAATCCACCCACATGACTCCTTTGTGGACTCATCAATGTCACCCTTGCCTGTTGGCTTCTGAGTTTGGCTGATGTGGAGTACCAACAAGAAGAAGGGATGGAAATAAATGAAGATCACCCAAATAAGAAGGCAAAAGTCACTTGTGCTGAGCTTGCTCTAACAAAAGAGTTTGCTTCTAGCATTTGTACTTGGCAAGATTTGATGGCAGGCAGGAGAGGGAGAGAGATTGGTGGAAAAAGAGATGTTTCTGGGGTGCTGTGATTGGAGGCTGTTGCCCTGGAGACTCTGGGATATGGCTGACCAGAAGTGAAGCATCCTATGTGATTAGTTCAGGAGAACACACTTGGCGTTCTCTAGGTGGCCCTAAATTGGGAGCAGGGACAAAAATTAGGAAGCTGTCAGTTGTTAACCAAATTCTTGCCACTGTGGGTGATTGTTTCAGGTTATTGTTGTGATTGGGCTTCCGGGATTGTCACTAGACCTTCTACAAGGCTGGCTCCCTGGACTAGCTCCTGACAGTGACAGGATTGTGTGCAGCTGCTTGCTGCAGATTGTGAGTCAGAGCTCTGTTTTTCATATCTGCTCTGGCCATTGCTTGCTCTTAAATTTATTCTCTCAAATGATATTCCCAGTTTCCTCCTCATTGGTTTACTGCAAAATGTGGTCTGCACAGAGGTCACAAGGTCTTAAGTGACACTCTCAACAGGACTCTCTTGGGCCCAGCATTGGGAACCTGCCTGCATCTGGTCTGCAGTCCTCAGCATGGCACGGTGTCCACCTTTGCTGGCCTCAAGATGCAGCGCCGGCTGAGACAATCCACATAGTGTTCCCCAAGCGGATATCCCATGAGGCCACTCTGCAGGACTCCTGGTTCAAAGGACCAATGGGACTCTTCAGAGGGATAATGATCACATCTTGTCACCTTCAGCTCTGGAGAAATGAAATCAGTTTGGGCTTCAGAATTATGTTCCTTTTGGAGTCTACTCCTCCAACAAGTCTGAGCGAACACTGACCAAGACAGGGGGAGGGGTGCCGCAGGACAAGCCAGGAACCTGCCTGTCACCTCCTATAGGCCATCTGACCTTGATGCTCAACACAGAAGGAAAACTCCTGACTGTCTGCTTCACCCCCACCTCAGAGGAAGGGCAGCCTTCCTTGAAGGGTAACTGGGGGACATTTCCTGACCAGGCTTGGGTGGAGAGGTCTCTATAAGCTCATTTCCTGGAGCTGCCCATATGACAGAAAATTCTAGAAGCTAGAATTCTAGAAGCTTTCTTCACATCCCTGGTGATACACAATATAGATAGAGGCTGAGAATAAAGATGAAAAGTGACCAAGAAGAAGAATCTGGATATCTGTTTAAGCATCCAAAGCAGATTATAGAACCAGAAGACAGCATTTGTATAAAACAGAATGATAGAGACCCGCACATTCCCACTCACGCATAGGACTGGCAAGTAACATGTCAAAACTCTAGGGTGATTATCTCTGGGCTGCAAGATGACAGCACTTTTTTTTCCTTTTTTGCTTGCATCTTCTCATTTGTCTTGCCTAGTGGTTTCCCTCTGTTGAGCCTCATGGAGTTGTGACCTTCGTTGCCTTTTTCTAGGATATTGCTTAGAATTGTTTGGAGTGCTGGTTTGTTGTTCATGAAATTTCTCAGGTGTTCTTTATCATGGAAGTATCTAATTTCCCCATCAATTTTGAAAGATAATTTTGCAGGATACAACAGTCTAGGTTGGACGTTATTTTCTTTTAGGGCTCGAAATACTTGACTCCAGGCTCTCCTTGAGTTGAGGGTTTGTGTTGAGAAGTCTGCCATGATTTTGATGGGCTGTCCTTTATAGGTGATTTGTTTCTTTTCTCTAACTGCCTATAGGATTTTGCTCTTTTGTTGGGTTTCTGGGATCTTGACTATTATATGTCTAGGTGTAGATTTTTTTTTTGATTGTGGCTAGTTGGAGTTCTATATGCCTCACTTATCTGTATGTCCAATTCTCCACCTCTGTCTGGGAAGTTTTCTACTATTACTTCTGTGAACAGTTTTTTTTAATGTCAATTGTACTTTCTCCTGTTTTTTCATGGACTTCTATCAGTCTTATGTTATTCTTCTTTGCATCATCTAGCAGCTGCTGAATTAATTGATTTCTCATGGTCCCTTACTATTTTTAAGAAATCTAGGGCCGGAGATTTAGCTCAGTGGTTCCGCTGCCTGCCTCAAAAGCAGAAGGACCTGAGTTTGATCCCTGGTACCAAAAAAAAAAAGGAATCTCTGTTTTCATGGTCCTTAACCGCAATCCTGTCTTCTATATCTGATATTCTATCTTCAGATTCTCTTAATCTGCTCTGCATGCTTTCAATG